AGGGAAGAAATAACTTAAATTTTTGTTTTTTTAAAAAAAGCAACAAATGCTTAATTTTTAAAAATCTCAGGATGCCGCCCTTATTATTTGGCTTTGTCAAAAATGATGGCTCCAGGACCGAGGACACGTCAGATGTACCTTTTAAAGTTTCTCAGTAGCACCACGATCACCAGCTCAATCTTCCAGGACACGGAAACCAGGAAAGTTATGTTCGTGGCACTGGTTTTCGGGAGAGGAAGTTGGTCACCGCTCACTCGCAGTAGTGGGTGAAGGCGGCTGCATTTCCAAGCAGCAGGCCCTGACCCCCTGTCGCCTGAGTGAAGACTGTGGCTTTGCCGTTTGCCTCCTAGTCACCTTGCCTTTGTCCTCTCCGGTGGGAATAAGAGAGCAGAGAGAGAAAAAGAGGATGAATGGAAAGGGAAAGACTAGACAGGTACACATGCGTGACCCTGACCTCCACGCAAAGGTCACAGTGTGGAAGTTTAGAAAGGCGACCCCGGGGCAGACATCTTGTGCCCTGAAGCGAGTTTCTCTTTCATTTCTTCATCGTCATTCATGTTAAGTTTCTATTTCATTATCAGCATCACAAAGAAAACCCTGTATACTTGTCTCTCTTCCCCTTTAACCATGTTCCTCTTTCTTTGCTGAACAGCTGAGTTCTTTGAAAAGCTGAAGAGGCTTGGTGGGGGCCTGGGGAGAGTCACACACAGCTAGAAAGTCGCCATTTATCAGAGGGTGGCACCGTCCCCGAGCGGCGAGGACAAAAAGGCTGCACAGCTTTGCCCTTGCCCTGTGCCACCCAGGCACTTAATGTTAGATTTCCCCCCAAACCTGTCTCCCAACCCCCAAATTTCTCCCATCTACCATCTCAGTAAATGCTACTTCCTAGATGTCAGCACCCTAAGATCTCTTTGTCCCTCTCCTCATCCATTCCAATCCATCAGAATGTTCTCTACATCTTCACCACCTCAGTACTTCACCTTACTCTCCCTGGTCTGGGGACATCACTCACTCACCTGGTCCCCATGGCTGTGCTCTTGCTCACCTGGGACCCGTTTCACAATAAGATACTCTACAGAGAAATCTGACAGAGCCATCCCCATGCATGAAACTGGCCAAAGACTTTCCAGTTTGGAAAGTCTTGGCCACCTCCTGGGGCTCTGTGGGGTCAAAGGCTCCCCACATGGATGTGGGGGGAGCCAGGCTGCCTACACCAGCCTCGGGGCCTCTGCAAAGCCTGCAAGTGCCTCTTTCTACCATCTGCCTAATGACCTTTACCGGATTTTTTTAAGACCCTATAAATGCCGCCTCCTGAGAGTTGGACCCTAACATTTGTGTCCTTCATTACATCTTATTGCAATTTGCAATTATTTCCCTTATCTCTTTACTTATTGATTATGTAGCAATTTCTTTCCGACAAGGGCTTCTCCTCTGTCCTCTTTATACTGCAAACTCCAAACCAGCACAAGGCCTGACACAAGTCAGAGATCCAGTATCTTTTTAAATAAAAGAATGGAGATTTTGCTATTTACTCTCCAAGAAAGCACACAAAACAGGAGGGAGATATAAATGTATGCATTTACACATGATTTGGATTATGGATGGTTTAGCTCTTTCTTAGATAACCTTCAAGTTGAGCTGTGCATTAGTCCTTTTTTCCAGTTCCCATAGCCTGATCTAGATTACTTATTGATAGGGGTAGAGGTGAGGAGTAGTGCCAGCTTTGGAGTTGGGGAAAAGATGGAAGTAGCAGAAAGCCACATGAGCTTGGGTGAACAGTAGGCTGAGACAGGCCTTCCCGTTAGATTTCGGTCCATCCCTGCAGTAGCTACAGCTGTTACCTGCCTTCTATTTCTATCTCCAGAAGGAAGGGCTACTTCCTCCACGAGGTGGCTGTGTTCTAACACTGAACACTACACAGACATACAGCTACATCCCAATCAGAATGAACACAGAGAGTCCACCTCAAAAAATCTTTATGCCGCCAGAGGACCCTGGACATTTGGTGCTAAAAAATAAAATAGTTTCTGCCGTTCAGGAACTTCCAGACCAGAGAGGAATGCTGTTGTCTGGATGGCATCTATTCGTACGTGGCCTCAGACACACACACTGGCAGCTGAGAATTGGGATTGATGGAGTACTTTACAGCAGTGGGACACGGGAGCACCCCAAGTGCACACAGACAGGGAACTGGATCAAGAGAACATGGTCCATCCACACCACGAAACACTGGTCAGCTGCAAGGGAAAACAAAATGCTGCATTGACAGCAGAATGGAAGGAGCTGGAGGGAAGCACATGGAGCCAAGAAAGTCAGAAGGACAAAGACAAATATGGGACATTCACACAGTGGACAATGCAACAAAGTAAAATACTTATAAAAACTAGTGCACATTAATAAGTGAAGTGGGGCTGCTGAGGTTGAGAGGGGAGGGAGAAAGGGTTGTGGATAAGGGATGAAGGCAGAGAAAAACCAGCAGCCAGAGTAAAAGGACATGTTACCTACAGATCAATGATTAAAATGAATGGGGTTGATGCCGTGGGCTGTGATGAGGTGTGACTAGGGCCAGGTGAAGGTCAGCATCGTGTCCCTGACCCAAGACCAACGCCTTTTGCTTCTTGCCTAGGAACAAGGGCTCACAGGAGTCAGTCTGACTTGTCACAAGCTGAGGAGGTGCAGAGCTCTAGAAAGCATGTGCTCCTGGATAGGGGCGAGGAAAATGAGGAGTCACTTGGTCATTTTTAGGGCACAGTGGACCCCAGCTCGTGGCCCATGTCATGTTGTAGAATTTGACATGTCAGTTTTGCCAGGACCCCACCCATGGGGTTGAAGAGTGGAACTGAAAGAGGGGACACCCAGGTAGCATAGCTGGCCATGCACCCTGGGCCACGCACTCCTGGCCACACACTCTGACCCATGCACCCTCTGCAATGCACCCCCAGACTTGTGTCTTTCCAATTTTATAGACAAAGGAACAGGTTTGGGGCAGGAAAGGAGACAGCTCAGGAGGATCTGAACCCACATCCTTGGATTCTAAGATTGGTTCTCTACATTTACATCAAGCCTGAACAGGAGAACCAAGCACAAGGACATGCAGGAGGCAGGCTTGATGGCAGATCCATAACCAGTCTGCAAAACAAAAGCAAGTGTTTCTAGAAATTTCAAAGCATGGTAAGATTTCAACTATCTAAAATAACTCTCTAGAAAGAGCCAGAACTGTAAATAAGAAAGACCACTCAGTACCCACACAGAAAGCCCAGGCACTTGACACTTCGCTCCAAGATTGTCCCTTGGAACTTTTGTTCAGAATCTATTGACTTTGACTTGAAACATAATTCCAATTAGTTGTGTTGTATGGTGTCTTAGCCTCTAGCCAGGTGGAGGTGGTAAATTAAAATGGATTCTTGCAGGGAAAGAGAGTGATTGTAATGAAAAGTGATAGACTGAGAGTGAAAAAAAGGAGAAAGCAGAGGTTGGTAAACTTTTTGTGTACAGATAAAGATCAGACAGTAGATACTTCATGCATCATGGGTCATACTCTCTCTGTCTACACCTCTACCATCGTGGCTTACAAGAAACCGGAAACGATATGTAAATGAATGAGCACAACTCTGTTACAACAAAATTTTATTTACAAAAACAGGTGGTGGGTTAAATTTGGCTCAGAGGCTAGCATTTGCAACCCATGGAATAGAGAAAGCTTCAAAGCCAGCACAATGTTCAGGAAATCTTAGCAATTTAGGTCTCATCATAAAGAGGCAAATAATCTTAACCTCAAAAGCCCTTATGAACTGAAACACAGAACACCTAGGTTGTACCCCCATTCATGCACCTCCATCCATACACCCCCATCCTTGTACCCCTGGCAGGGCCCTTCATGATAAAGTTACAAAATTTTAAAAATCTAAACAACCTTGGGAATACTATCATCCATCTCCCTGTTTTTATAGATGAAGAAATAAATCCTCAGAGAGGTTAAGAGACTTGCTAAAGGTCAAACAGCTCATTAATGATCAGACTTAAATTAGAACCAGAGTTTTGAGTCTAAGTTTAGAACTCTTTCCATTATCTCATGTCTGTTATTTTAGCCTTTTTTTGGTAACATCAGGATGGAGGAAATGCTCATTTAATTAAAACACTACATCCACAAGGTTGTTAAGAGTCTGGAATCATTAAAGTACACAGTTCTAGACATTTATAAAGATGATTTGAATCAAGACAAAGGTTAAGTTGGGTTTAATATACTCAGAGAATATAATTTCCAAAGTAGTGCTAAAAAGAATACACTGCAAGCATTTAAAAAATGAATATATATATATAATAAAAATATTACTATTCTCCCTGATATGTGGGAAAACAAGGTATCACTGTCCATTCATATAAAAGACGAGTTTGTCATTGTATATGATCAATTTAGACCTGGTCATCAGTTCTGAGGGTCTACAACAGCCCAAGGGGCACCCAGGCATTGACAAGCCCCAAGCCTTTTCTCAAATATCTGGACCCCGCTTTCATGCAGTTGCCTTATCCAGCTGAAAAGCAAAAGCCACCTCAGTCCTACCTGCCCCTTTCTCTTTTCTATCATTAGCAATGTCTTCTGTTCCTTTTCTGAATTAATTAGGAAATAAAAATAGAAACCCTGGCATGTTTATAAAGATTCAGAGTGCTGGTTAAACATGAAAGAACAGAGGTTGGGAACACAGAGGTGACAAATTTTATTTCTGTGATGACATGTCAGAGTTCCCCTGCCAGCTGGCCCTTCAGCAGCAGAAGCAGGCACCTGTCTACAGAGAAGTCGGGGTGGAAGGCGGAGCTGGGAAAGGTGGCAGCAGCCTGCCATGCCATGCAAATGAGTTCTAATTGCTGGGGGTCATTGAGCAGTGTATGGGGAGGGGAGAGGCGAGGCTTCTGACAGAAGGGAAGGCGGGGAGAGGCTTCTAGAAAGGAGGGCCTGCTGCTGTTCACAGGCCCTCGGGCAGGGCCCTGGTTCTGGAGCTCACCTCTTCCCACCTTCGCTGTACAGGCAAAGGGCAAAGGGATGGGGCGCCTATGGCTTCAGAGTGTCCCCAAGATGCACTTCCCAGTTTGACAGACCTGCCAGAGGAAATGAGAAGTGATAAGAGATTGGGCTGCGATTAGATCAGCCACCTTGGGAAAAGGTGCTGAGCCAGAGATATTTCACTGAAATAAGGAGAAACCTGGGAATGGATTTCTGGCAAGCAATCCCAGAGTAGATATGGTCTGAATTGGAAATGGATTTCATGGGCAGATAAAGTCTAATAAATGGCAGGTCACTCAAAAACCATATATCATCAAGTCTCATACAGGGGCTGTGAGTCTGTTATCAATAATTTAACACCAGGAGAACCTAGCCCTTAGCAAATATTTAATTTCAAAACACACCTACTGATTTACTCAGATACAGCCTACATAGTATATTAAAAATATATTACAAGAAGCCAACTGCCAATAAAGCTGCACTTAGAGAAGACGAGCGCACTTGTTGCTTTCTGGAAATTCTGTTCAAAGAAGGGACAGGGGCCTCTGTCCACAGCTGGAGTCCACCAGCGAGGTCTGCACCTTCCAGAAGAGAGGGCGTCGTGAGCTCCCCATCACACATGGGGCACCTGCACACCAGGTCAGAGGGGGCATGCCCTAGGGACAAGTTGGGGTAAGAACTCAGGGCTCCATGAGATGCCCCTCTGCCAGGACCGAGGGCTTCAGGGGCAAAGTCTTTAGTGCAAAGAGGAGTGAAGGGGGTGGAAGGCGGGGCTCCAGGGGCACTGTCTGCGTGCGATTCCTGCCGTTCTCAGCCCCTCTCCCTGCAGCCTCTGCCCCATCATGCAGATCACTCCAGAGCAGACTGGCTCCATTTCCTAGCCAGGAAGCCTTAGTGCTAAGTCTAATTCACACTGGAATCTTAACCTGCAATGGGGCTGGGATTTGGAGATGGGGTCTTTTGGGAAGTGATTAGGCCACGAGGGCTCATGAGTTGGATTAGGGCTCTTGTAAGGGACGCTTCAGAGCTCCCTCAGCCTTTCACCATGTGAGGACACAAGAAGAACGCTGTGGCCAGGGAGAGGGTCCTCCCCCAAGACACTGGCACCCTGACCTCGTAAGTCCCAGACTGCAAGAAATAAACTTCTGCTGCCTGCAAGTCGGGGAGCCTGTTACTTTGTTATAGCAACCTAAGCTGACTAAGTCAGCCTCAGCTGACTACGACTCGGGGGCACCTCTTCCTTCCTGGAAAGGAGGTTTTCTAAGGAAGTGGTGGTTCGTGAAACTGAGTTAAAATGGAGGCCTGACTCAATAAGGACAGGTTAGTTTCAGGGCCAGCACTTTCCTAACAAGGCTTTAAGTCTTAGATCTTCTTTGGGGTTGACAAAGGCCTGGCAGTATATCTGGCAGCTGCAGAGAAAAGAGAGGAAGCAGAGAAGGGAGGAGAAGGAGAGGGAGCAAACAGTGGATGCTTTTAATTGCCCAAGTCTTCCACCTACGGAGGGATACTGAAGGGCTGAAGGGGCTGGGTGTCAGCCCCAACTCTGCCACACAGGCCTGTGTTCTTAGAGTTGGACTCTGGTCTCGAAGTCCTTCCATTCTAGGGGGACTGGCACATGACCTTCGCCAGCTCTTGGCAGAGGGGTTTTTACCCTCTGCGCTGGGATCATGGTGAGAAGCTTCTCTGCTCACCTCACAGGCAGCCATTGGAAGGACAGACTGGGCCAAATGTCCAGAGGCCCAAGTTTATCTGCACATGCAAAAGTGGCCCAGGCCCATCCTTCCCTGTTCTCAAACTCTTTTCCCCATGACATCCAGAATGACTCTGACAGTCGGAAAACAACGAATTTCTTAGTGCTGCATGTAGGGCCTTAAAGGAAGCTGGCAGGGGATACCATAACTCTGAAACAAAACACCCCTACCCCCAGGCCCCAGCACTCGCCTGTACACAAACACCCCACACAAGGTCAGCCAGAGGATTAAGCAGATCAGGTAAGAGGCCCACAAAGTCCTCAAGACCGAAGTGAGATGTTGAGAGCAAAGTTGCCTGAGCTGAAGGTCAATCGAGAATCTACTTTTTCGCCAACAGCAATTGTGCTCTCCCGCCCCTCCCTGATAAAATCCCTATCTTTCAGAGAGGTTAAGTGACCAGACCACCAAGAGGTCCCCCAGCAGACACTGACTCGAGAAGGTCATAGTGAAAATCACTCTGCTGATGACCTTGAGGTCATCTGAACAGGTTCATAGTTCACCAACCACTTGACCCTTCGGATTCATGATGAAGACCGCCTGGCGGGGGTTGAGTATTTGCCTGGGGTCAGTAAACCCTGGCAGGGCAGGGAGCGGGGAGGAATACTGGAATGAAGATGAGCAAGCGGGCCTGACGTATTGCCCGTGGCCTCAATCGGGCCACAGCCAGTCCTCTCCAGTGTGGTGCATTCTTTGCAAAACAAAGCCCTGCCTGCAATTCACTGCGATAGCCAAGCACAAAGCATAGCCCCAGAACATGCAAACCACAAAGTATGTGAAAGTCAGCATTTTGGAAGCAAAAGAACTGCCACGTTGGGCCCTCGGATGCTGCCAGGGGCAGCTCTGCCTCTCGTGGCATCCACTGATTCAAAATTCACCCCAGGCCCCTAATCCAGAAGATGCCAACGTTAGCTAACACCTGATTCTTGTTTAAGGTGAATAAACCCAGATCATGCTTTTGTCAGCTTTTGAAAGCTCTGAGCAATGCCGTGACCATGTGAACAACTAGTTGGAGAAATAATGAAGCTCAGGATACTGGGCTGGGGCTCCCTACTGGCCCCCACTTCAATGGCTGTGTGTGTGTGTGAAAACTCCATTCAGTAGCCTGAGACCTGGAGGCTCAATGTTTAATTGATAAAACTCTTGTTCTGAAGTCAATGTTTGGGCAAAGAATCAGGCCTTGGATTTGGGCACCAAGAATCAGGCAGGCAAACCCCAATCCCGAGACCACAGCCTTTCCTCTATAGTCTACTTCTTTCAACTGGAGGACTCCCAAGTTAAATGTGCCATTTCAGTCAACTCAGGGAGCCCCTGAGGGAAAAAGGCCAGCCCACGCACACCACCACTCAGTGCCTTATAGGACAATTTAAATTTAGTGCATTTAGACCACTTTATATTAACTAATTTAGAAAATTTTGCTGTAGCAGACTTTGCTGACTGCTTTTCACTGCCAAACTAAATACTCCACTTTAAAATACACCCCTGCAAACGCATGTGATTTCTCCTTTTAGGTTAGGAATGTAATGTTGACATAAATGTCAAATAAAATTAATGAGCGAATGGGCCTTCAAATGGTACTCCTGTGAAGGGAATTTGTTAGACTGGGACCTTTGAGCTCAAATGTATATATAATTATATAACACTCATATGAGGAACGAATCTGAATGTTAAGCTTTAGCAAATTTATCACCTTTGTCAGAAATGCTGTTACCTACAAAAAAAAAAAAAAAAAAAAAAAAAAAAAAAACAGGTTACAAGTAAATTAAGATGAAAATACCATCCGATTGGAAGTGCATAGTCTGTCACACGCGAGCTACTGTAGAATTAGCAGGGTGGCCCATCTGCTCAACAGGGAGTGCTCCCCTTATCTCAATAGGATTCAGATATGCCGCTCCCCCTGCCCCAGTACCTCCATGGTTGGTTTGCAAATGGACTTCCTCCTGGCCAATCCCAGGCCATCCCCAGCCTTCATCCTACCTTGTCACTTAGGGAGAGTAAAAAACGGTAGTTAGAGCAATACCTGGTATTTTCACTCAATAGTCAAGGCACCTGCTACTGCCTCCGTCCATACACTGATCTCACTACTTTGTCATTTATTTGTCGTCTCAAAAAATCTCCCCCAAGCATGGGAGAATCACAGATAATCACTCTAAATCATTGAAAAGAGCCCAGTTCCCAGTAAAGCAGCAAATATTCTTTTGTCAGAGAAAAAGACTTGGAGTAAAATTTCCCGCAGACACAGGGAAAACCTACATTTACCCCACGCTAAGGAAAATGGCCCGCAGGAGCCGTAGCACCACATTGGCCATTACTGAGGAATCTGCCAGTATCCGGGGTGATTCAGAGTCCCCAAGAAAACCAAAACTGTTCCTGTGCTCTGTATTTTACGCTTCAGATTCAATCTCAGGATTAGATTGTACACATCACATTTCTTTTTCATACGCTGTCCTCAAATGCAATTGTATAATTTTGAAAATCTACATTTTTCCCTAAATGAAATCAGAAGGAATTAGAGGGGTAGGTTTCTAGTTCTTCCCAGTTACCTGGATCCCTCTACCGCCTGGAAACCACCCCCAAAGAAGGCACGATAATGTCCTGGAGTGAATAATGGAGGGAATAAGAGCCCAATCAGCTACCCCCCAAATCCCTTCTGCTGTCCCTGCATCTTTAAGCAACTTCACTAAATCCATAGGTGCCAAGAAGCTACGGAGACTTAATTTACAGTGAGGGGAAGAAAACCTGTAGCTACCACTTCAAACAACTCACACGCCCATTTACTAAGAAGTCAGCCTTACTCAGGATCTTTCGAAATGTCTGCGCAGGACACAGGGAACCTTCTCCATTTTCCTTCTTCTTTTTCATGCTATCAGCTCATAATGAACAAACATGGAAATTTTTCTGAGGGGGACATCCAACCACCAAAATAACTCCTTCATAATTCATATGTGCAATCACAACGGTGATTAATAAAAACCTGAAACAGTTTCTAAAAGCCTAAAGCATTAATTACTCTGTTAGATGTCAGGGCTCTATGAAAACCTATGACAGCAGGTTACTCTGGCAAATTAAATCATGTGAACTTGAGGTGGAAGAAGAGAAATCTTCACCGGGTGAATGTGCGGCTGGTAAACGTGGGCTTTCCAGGAGGGCGCCCGGACCGGGTCTCTCAGGGCGCAGTATTTCAGCCTTGAACGACATATGAAAGAGGGGAAATGTCACTGCAAATTGAATTTATGCTGGGATGAAAAGGACGATGTTAGCCTTTGAAAGACCTAAAATAAATGAATGATACTGTTTCCATTCAAGGGGAAAACAGCTCATTGAGTGTCTCCTGGTTGGCCTGCACA